TAGAGTTTATTGCTGACTGTGAGTCCGAAAGTATCACCGCTTTGGTGAATTTCGTATCCAGGCAACATAATTGACGTAGTGCTATCCTAATGGCCTCTATTTCTCCTTCAAAAGCGGATCTATTGTGTCCCTTTGCTGCGTAGAAAGAGAAGAGTTCAGAATGGACAGCTGCACCAACGTTTGCTTGGTTTTCTATGTATGACTTATCAGTGAAGACTTGGAGCCATTGATCTGCAGGACAGTTGACATTGATTGTTTCAAGGGCCAGTGAGCGCATTTGTTCTGGAGGGGTGTTTGATTTCCTGAAGAAGTCAAGCAGTTGGGTGCAACACACTGCATCAGTGTCTTCTAATGGGTTCATGGGGGGAGAGAGGCTTTTTGGTTTGTCATCGATTTGTAATTCTTTCTTCAGTTCTATGGTTTTCTCTATTAGACCAGATTGCGTTTTCAGATGTCTTGGTCTATTCTCATAGGTGCTGAAGAATTTATTCATTGGAATGCTCAGTAGCTTCTCACACAGGATCAAGGCCTTCTCTTTGGTAAGGGAACATATTGTGGTGCTTCCTGTAACCAGGAACATTGCATCAATGGGTATGTTCTATCTTCTGTAACTTGGAGCATTGCATCAATGGGTGTTGATTTTATTCCTCCAGTAATTAGTCGTAATGCTTGGTTGTGTACCTTCTATGCAGTAATTAGTCGTAATGCTTGGTTGTGTGCCTTCTCGAGGCGTTTGAGAGTCACCTCTGTGGCTGTAATGAGTGGCTCAGAACAATAATCACCTCTGTGGCTGTAATGAGTGGCTCACAGCAATACAAGATTATTGGCTGAATAAACATCTTGTAAATGGTGTTGAGAGTTGAGCGTGCACAGGCCCATACGCTACCAGCAAGACACTTCAGTACATTATATCCATTGGAGACTCGTTCTGCTATTTTGGCAATGTGACTTTCCACGTTAGCTTAGTGTCAAACGTCATTCCGAGATATATGAACTCATTGGTTTTTTTCTAGGGCAGTATCCTTGCACCTTAGAAGCGGGTGTATACTGTGACGGGCCAAAGGTACCTTAGAAGCGGGTTTATGCTCTGATGGGCCAAAGAAGAAGCGGGTTTATGCTAAGACGAGGGAGAGGAAATGTTTGGAATGCAGTAGCTGTTGATTACCATTCCATTGTTGTCGCACCAGTTTGCTAGTAGTTTAAGTAATTCCATTGTTGTCGCACCAGTTTGCTAGTAGTTTAAGTTTACAATTTAGGGCACTTTCTGTCCTCTCCTGAGCGTTTATCTCACAGTTTAGGGCACTTTCTGTCCTCTCCTGAGCGTTTTTCTTAGGGGGTTGTCGCACCAGTTTGCTAGTAGTTTAAGAGCACAATTTAGGTCTCCTGAGCGTTTTTCTTAGGGGCGGAATACCATAGCTCTCCTGAGCGTTTTTCTTAGGGGCGGAATACCATAGTACATGATCATCTGCGTTGAATTGATGTAGTCATGTTCCCTATTACCCCAAACAAGTTGAATTTATACTGAGGAAATTTTATTGGTTTTGAAGTATCTTGTGCGTTATTATTGTTGTTTTATTGTTATTTATAACGGGGCACGTGTTGGAGTTGTTAAGCTCCTGAATATGAGTCAAGTCAAAGCAGTAGAAGAAATGAATACTTTCCTATTCAATTAAGTGTATGATATCAGAACTCCAACTTAGCAGATCTCACTGAAATGCCGAGAGAAATTTTGGGCTCATCTACTATTATAATCATTATTTTCGTCCACTTTCCAAATATTCTTAATAAGGAAGATGTGCTCAGCTATTTGCTTTTAATCTCACAACTTCTCTTTTGATTTTCTCTCATCACTTCTCTTTTGTATTTCAGGTGTCCGGCGATACCTCTGAGGAGTTATTGGTAGAAAAATTGAGGCGCTACGGGAAACGGCTCGAATTATGTGATTATATGCTAAGGGGTTTCAGTTTCAAGTGGCGTTATCGAGAAATGGTGAGTCCGGCAATTCTCAAAGTAAGTCACTCAAGTGAATTGTGATAACTTAACTTCAAAATATGACTAGTAACTATGCTGCTAGTATCTGGTTGTCTTTCGATCTACAACGTCTTCGATATGCAAATAGAAAGTGAAGAAGTTCATCATCTGAAGTCCATGGGGACTAAAAATATCTATCTGAAGAGTGAGGAAATTATCTCGGAGCTTGATGGTTGCCTTGGTAGTTGAGGTTACTTTCCAATGCAGCAGAACGTAGATACGTTTGAGCACTTAAAGATGAGGAGATATCTGAGAGGGCATAGTAATTGATCCGCAATTAGGCACAAGGAATGTTGTCTTGAATTGATATATATATATATATATATATATATATATATATATATATATATATGGTTGAGAATTTAAGGTAAACTAGTAGGATCTGACTGTTTACAAGTGACCCACAAAACAGTTAAAATTGATTCGGTGCGTTGCAAAAACCAGTTAATTTAAACAGTTCATTATGAGGTGATCAAATAAATAGTATAATGTGGTCAGGCTGACCCATAGACAGAAAAAAATTTGAAAAAAATATGGTAATTAAAGGAAAAATTTTAACGCCGGGAAAATTTTCATCAAAGAGTAGTTTTATTTACCATCTTTTTTTTTGTAGGCCGTTCTAACTATAGGGGAGGTGATTCCTAATGATCCACACTTGAACGCTCGTCTCCACGAAGCTGTAACTTACATAATGGAAAATTTGGATGTGGATGATTTAACATTTGAAATTTGCCAACAAGTAATGCAATATACGCTGAGTTATATACTTCGAATTGAAAGTGGTTATCAGCTTCTACGTTTGCTGATTAATAGATTTGGAATAGTGAGTGGTTGTTGCGTAAAATTGAGTATTTAATTCGAATCAGTTTCAGAAAACATTTTCTGTGTTTTTAGATCCCAGATGGAACGTACTTAAATATTCAAACGAATTTTTTGTATATGTCATTCTTGATAAGTTACATCACTGAAATGAGTGGGCATGATGTGGGGGTTGACATGTTTCAACTCAGGGCAATGCTCTCAGCTCCAACTGAACGAATTCGAGAAAATCCCGATGTAATTTGGTCTCTGTATAAGAGTCTTAAGGGAAGCGAAGATGCTCGCACAATATTCCGGGAAATGGATGCTCTGACAATATTAGGAAGTGTTGAGCGAGTAAGTTTGCCTCATTTACATAAGTACTACTTTTCACTTATAATAATATTAATTAGTCTAATGGAATTTGTTAATTGGTGCCTTGAGTGAGATTTCAATAATATACTAAAATTAAGTAATTATATGAGTATAAGAGTTTCAAAACATGATGAATGGGGGGAGCTAGTTAACAGATAGGGTGAAGAAATAGGATGGAGTGAACCAGTAAGTTAGAAATCTGAGGCGAAACGATAAAGGGAGCCATGATAGTAACAGCCCTTGAGTGCGCACTCAGAGGTAGCGGAATGACCGGTCAAGTTTAAGTTGTGGTCGAGTTCATTACTATTTGGTCAAAACAAATAACAATCAAAGTAAATAAGCAATAAACAACTACATCACCTAGTTTCGGCAGAGAATATATTAGGGAAGAAGAGAACCATGTAGCTGGTGACCTCAAGACCCACGTGTTAACAAATCGGCTAATTGATGAATCGTCCACACAACTTTACTAAGAAGGCAGTGAAACAATAGGTAAAATCGAGCATTGAATTACGAGAACGGAACACACAGTTGAAGAACAAATTAACTTAAATAAGCAAAGTATTAAATTTATCTAAACCATGCTTTTTTAATGACGCTCTACTTAAGAAAAGTGTGCTAGAACATCATCCAATGTTGATTGAAATATATTAATTGAATATTTCTTAAAACGAAATATTTTCAGATCTGGAATTTTAACACTGATCCTACGCAACTTTCACAATTCTCAGAGCCAATTTTACGAATTCTGGTGAGGCTTTTTAAATAAACTTTTTATATTGGTATACTTAGTTATTGATTATTAATGCCAAATATTAATATTATCATCGACGATATTTTAGGATCTTTTATCGACAGAGAAAGAAACAGGAAAATCCCTGTTGCAAAAACAATGGATGAATTACCTTTGGTGAGTGTACTTCCAACAAACCACAAATATTGTTAGTAATAAGTATCTTCGAGATGAAAAGTGAGGAAGTGAAAGTTTCCAATTCCAAAGACAAAATCTAAAAACTCTTTACTCTCACTAATTACTAGATGATTAGTTTTATTCGATTGGTAGTAGGACGTAGTATCGATTTTTAATAATTACCCACCCAGCCACACAACGCACAGGCATACGCGCACACACAAAGATGAAAATTTGGAATTGATATATTGTATTTTCCACTTGCAGCCTAATTCTCCATGGTCCATCGTTTAAAAGGAGCTATATGGCATCAAGGATTATCTGCAACCTTATTTCTTTTGCCGAGGATGACTGGACCTCCATATTTTATTTTAACAAGAACGATATCCTGGAGGCATTTGTGAGTCAACTCAAACTTACCATCTCATTTGTTATCTTTAATACGATCGTATGCTATAGTAAAATAGACAAGTGGCCAGACCTTTGTGTGAAGTGGTTAATTTTTTATCACAAACTCAAAACTCAGAAATAAATTGGCTTTATTTTCTATAACGGTCGAAACTGGTCTCAATGCAACAGGCTTGGGAAAATTGAAATGTAATAGTTTTATTGGCTGTTGACTTAGACCATCAATCTAGAAAAATAACGCTGATAGAATTCGAAAAAATTACAGCTACTACTTTGATCTTTTCAGTTTACGCAAGGTATTTCTTTGCCACCAACAAACAATTAAAATATATTCCTCAATATAAATATAAAATAAGGTATCACGTTTGAATAATGGGAAAATTCTATCTACATTTGACGAATGATTAAACATATTGAATCAAAATTAAGGGTGACATTGACATTTTCGTTTTAGGGGAAAGCGATTTGCCAATGGGAACCATCATTCGTTTTATCGCATGAAGAAAGGCCCCCATTGGGCCACTTGGAATATATCCTCTCTAAACGAACATCTCGCCTGGAAGTGAAACTGTGGGCACTCTGGTCCATTCGTCATTTATACGCTAGTGGTATGGCTTCCTACTATTTTCGACTTCTTGTCTCAATTTATAACTTCCACTTTTAATTTGATCCTTACATTACAAGCGTGAATTAATTATCATGAATAGTCCATTGAAGCGAATGTGGAATTTTCAGGTCAGATCAAGAGGTCAGGGAATCAGAGTGAAGCCACTATATTTAGACATCCTTCCCACCTGATTTTCAAGTAATCGATAGTGTATTGAATGGCTGATAATCCTTTCCACTTTTCATGAAAATAACTCCTAGTTCCTCACATTTTAATAGCTCCGCTCCAACGCAAATGCGAAAGCGCATTACTTTCCAAAGACGAAGATGATCACTTTTTATTATTGAATTGCACAAACAATTTTTTTCGAGGTTAGATGATAACATATCATCTTTATCGGTAAACGATGGAGGGTTGGAAATGCCTAATGGGAACTATTGTCAGTATTTTGAAGCAATGATTTGCTCATAATAGGAATGGAAATCTATTCAGTTAAATGACAATCAAGACGATTTTCAACAGAACGCGAATTTTACATCAAAGTGGCTACTTAATTGAAGACCAAAAATCTATAAATCCTTTTTAGGTGATTGTTATATTGGGATTCTCAAAAACCATACGTTTTTAAAGCGCCATCTGTGTGAAATTTCATTTTCAACTCCGGATCAATTGGTCTACCATCCAAAGCCAACAAGTATGGAACAATCAAAAGATAAGGCGTAGGCATTTTTCTTAAATATGATGTCTTGTTTGTCCAAAATTCGGATTTTATAAACGAGTTGTAATTTTAGGCTTGGAAGATATCTTACAATGACCTTCGCAGAGGTAAGAACTTGACGTTAAACGTAAATCACGCAGTTTTGAGTAGGAGTGCTTACATTAGATAGATTGTAATAGGCAGAGTATTTTATATTGCTCTAAAAACAGTCATCTCTTTTGACAAAATGAAACGTAAAGCTTCTTGAAAGCAAGTTTCATTATTCCGGGGTTGTCCGATTGCCCGACCATCTGAAAAAGCGCCCCCCCTCCCAAGGGCGGTTATTCGGATGGTCAAAAGTTAAAACTCAGTCTCACAGCTTTTCACTATTCGTGATTGAAGCTTGGCTCTCCTCATATGGGATGAGTCCTTCTGAATACGCGATATGCGCTCGCTAAACACACACGAAAGTTGAAATAATTTCACTCAATAAAACTAATTAAAGAGAAAAAACTTGTCACATTAAAGGATTGAACGATATCAACTGCACTCAAGTCACTAAGTCTCAAGGGAGTTTGCGTGATAGGACATTGAGATCTCTAATATCTCACCACACTGTTAATTATCATCTGATTGGAGAAAATTGTGTATCCTTGACTAGAAGCAATTTACATGATTGTGTGGTGATGTCACAACTCTATTCTACCATATACCTTGGTGTAAACTGGTGTTTGCTCATCAATTGTCTCCTTTCTGTTACAAAAGACGCAGTTTTTTATATTTCAGGGATTAGTTAGCGAAACCCAAGCTGTTACTGGTTTCCTGAAGGGACACCTCACTTTTATTCCGAGACAACGTCCCTATCATGCTCGAATTCCCGTCAAAAGTGGTGACTGCGATAAACTGGGTGTAAATGAGGTAAGAATGTTTTTTTTATACTAGCATGTTATAAATCAAATTTCACTGCATCTTATTGATTTTCCCAATAAAAGTTAATTTGGCAGAGGTAAGTATTCAATGGGGAGATTAAATCAGGACTTCAAAGTAGAGGTGGCCCCGGAATGTCAGTTCTTTGTCCAGACTGAACTCTCGAAATCACTTTCAAACGGTAAAATGGCCAATTCTTTGTTATGTAATAACCCAAAGTGAATCAAAATGTCACAGTTTTTCAATGCGTCTGCTTATGGTCGAACCAAAGAATGATGAATGCGGTGGGATTTAAAAGTTGTTAATTGTAGCTCAGAGGCATGAAGTAGTTTCACCTCATTTGTACTTAATGGACAATTCATGTTCCAAAACTAAAACTGCCTGGCTTGTGACCCTGTGAAGTGGGCGATTTCTTACCCTGATAACCAATGTTTATTGACTAGGTCATTTTGTCATGATGCCCAAGGTCATAACTTTGATTCCGAGTTTACGAAAGCAGAATTGGAGCCTTATTTAATATTTCGTGGCTTGGAAAATTTCAGTAATCCATGTTCATTGAAACGGACTCCATGTTTGTTAACATTTAGCTAATGACAATGTACTGTCGTGCTGAAGCCTTTAAGACTCTTCAATATCCACGTCTATTGACAATTGCAATTGCTTGGTATTCGACACGTTAATGCTGGTGATCTCTAAGCTTGTTTTCGTGCATTTTGTCAGCTACTTCATTGATTAAATCCTTCTGATGATTACTGACTCTAGATTAAGTATCTAAAAATGCTCATATACCCAGAGTGATAAATCATATGGCCCGGACTATCTTTTCAATATTTCCAAATGATTCGACGATGAAGGAATGGAGGAAAATTAATCCATTGAATAGTTTACTTATTAATTTAGGAAGCAAATTTATTATTATCTCAAATAATTGGAAAATGGTTTACTAGGTGGTCAATTATAATTACTTCAGTGATGTGAATATAGAAAGTCAATTAGGGTCCTATGAAGTTGGAGTGATGAAGTCTTTTATTTATTTCAGAATCCCCCACC